TTGCATCCATTTAAAAAGTTGGTGAATAAAAGTTTATAGGGTTTGGAGATTATGATACAATTTATAGAGTTTGAAATGAAGTTTATTTATGTAATTTATAGGGTTTGAAGTACATTATAAAAATATTAATAAGTATGGGCCAATTTCAAATATATAATTTTAAGGATCAAATAGAAATAATTATAAAATGTGAAGCTGAAATTAACATAAAAATGTATTGAATTGCATTCATTTCAAAAGTTGAAGAACAAAAATTTATAAGATTTTAGATATCATAAAATAATTTTAAAGAATAAATTGAATAAACATAGAATTACAGAATATAATTTAAATAAATTAAACAACAGGTAAAGATTCAATTAAAATAATTATAGTATATATTAAATATAATATATGTATAATGAATATTATGATGCATGTATATAATGTACATTATATTTATGCATCCATTATACTTATAATATATAATATTTATGTATGTATATATATATATATATATATATATATATATATATATATATATATATATGCTTATGCATTAATATATATTGTTGGCTTTTAACTTATTTTTATTATTTATATTTTTTATCGTTAATCAAAGGGTACCTATCAATCAATCATTACATCATCAATATATAGGCTCTTCTTTAGATAATCCCTACTAGCAAATCCAGTTTAGCTGTTACCACCTAATAACCCCTTTCATGTCGATTTCACACTTTAACACACACTAATACACGTCATGTAATATAGCATGTATGGGACATTACATATCATACATAACACTTAAATGTATATGTTTAGTTAAAAAATTAAATTTATTAAAAATGATAAATTATAACTAATAACATTTGTTTATATAATTTAAGACTAAATTAAATATATATAAAATTTGAAATCAAAATTTAAATAGATTATAAAATAAGTAGGGATTAAATTGAAAGAATTCAAAAAAATATAAAGTTTAAATTAATATAATTATTTTTCATTAAGCCTATTCAAAACTTGATAGTAAAGCCGAGATTAATTGGCGCCAAATCTCTCATTTTATATTTTAAAATATAAAATACAAAATTATCCGGAAAACCCAAATCCCAAAATTCATGAAAGGAGGGTTAAAAACGTAAAAAATTTGAGCACAGAATGTTGTCAATCTCATGTTTTGAAAGCAAGATAGCATATGACCTTCTCATTTTGCCCTTTTTAAATTGTTAATTTTAGTATTGATTATATTATTTAAATTTTTAATCTCAAATAAATTTATTTTTAATATATATATTAAAATTTTAAATTACATTATATTTAGATTTTGATGATTTATTACATAAAATTTAAATTAAACTTATAGATATTTTAAATAATTTTACATAATCTAATTTTTAATATAATAAAATCATACTCAATAAATAAATTATTTAATAAAATTAATTAATATTTATAATATAAGAATTATAATTAATATGAAAAATAAATTTAGTAATTTAATTATCATAATTAACAATTTATTTTAAATTTTAAAAAGGAAATATATTAATTTAATTATCATAGTTTATCTACTTTTAATTGTGGAGATGTATTTTATCATACTATAATATCATAAATTTAAAGTCTCACAAGTTCATCAATTGTAATTTATAAGTCATGTAAATATCAAGTCAGACAAATATAAGATCAATTCAACAATAAGTCGGATTATTTACAGGTTGAGTCAATTACATGTCAGGTTCATAACAGGTCAAATTGATAACAAATCGGGTAATGCCATTTATTTATCAAGTTAATCTTGGGTTCAGATTCATATTAGTCGAATATAGGTCGTTTGATTATCATATTATTAGTTCAATTCGGGTTCAGGTTATTCTCAGATAAGGTGCAGATCAAATTCAGATCCAACTCGGGTTCTGTCAACCCCAATTTAGACTCGAATCGATTTATAGTCACCACCACCTCAGGTCACAAATAGTTTTGACTCAAGTCGATTTCAGTTAGTTTTACAAGTCGGATCAGTTTTTTTCATCCCTACATGTAATAAATGAAAGAAAAATGAGAAACTGGTAAATGAACTTATAAACGAGTCTATAAACAACTTTTAAATGAACTTGTTCTTGAACATAAATAAACTAAACACATCTCTTTTGGTATTCGTTTCTTTATTAAATGAACATAACATTTATGTTTTTACCTCATAAAATTTTATAAGTTCGTACTTAACATAAAATCTTATGTTTATCCCTTATTGATTTATTATCTTAATTAAAAATAAACAAAGATTATTACTCCTTTTTAATTAAGCTAATAAAAAAGGACCTACAATTATAATCTATAAGGCCCATTTGTTTGGTCTTACGACAAGAAAGCGAAAGACAATACAGTGGCCCACTTACAATCGCATCATATTCTAGGGTTTTGAGTCTTCTCGGTTTAAATTTCGTTGCTGCTGCTGCTGCTACTGCACTGCTACTTCTTCTTTGTTGTCGTTGCCTCCAAATCTCTCTAAACCTTCATCCCAGTCGGAACAACCTCTATCGACCAACATGGGGTATGTTTTCTGTTATTAGTTCTACCTCAATTCGGTTGCTTTGTTTTCTCTTTACCTGCTCATGTTCCATTTTTAAAGTGTCTGAGCTATTCTTGCTTATTCAATGAAAGGAATGGTACTTCGTGAGAATTGTTAGTTTACAAAATGTGGGTTTATGATCTTTAAGTCTTTTTTTTATTATTTCAATTGTTTGGTTTGAGTGTTGAATTAGATGGAAGGGGGAAATAGATATTTTTTACAGCTCCTGCTTTTAATTTTTGATATTCCGCAAGTTTAAATCTTGATTTCTGTTTTAGGGTTTATATAAATAAACTTTATGTGTTTAGTTTGAATATAAATTCGGGTTTCTGGTTTCTTTTGTGAGAAGTGACATTAGCTTATCTACATGAGAAAATGCCTGTTTCATTCTGGTGTTTATAGATTTAGGAGAATCCCAGAGGAATACTATTGAACAAAGCTTGTTTGAAATTATACTTTAAATGACATTAGCTTAATTATGTAATCTTGTAGGAAAACACGTGGTATGGGAGCTGGGCGCAAGCTGAGGACCCACCGCAGGAGGCAGAGGTGGGCCGATAAGGCATACAAGAAGTCTAACCTTGGAAATGAATGGAAGAAGCCATTTGCTGGTTCTTCCCATGCCAAAGGAATTGTCCTCGAGAAGATGTAATGCAACTCTATATCCTTTTTTTCATTTCATTCTCGTGTTTTCATTGAACTCTAATTCAAGAAAGCTCACTGATGGCTTCGGAACTGCAGCGGTATTGAGGCCAAGCAGCCAAACTCTGCTATCAGAAAGTGTGCTAGAGTTCAGTTGATCAAGAATGGCAAGAAGATTGCTGCATTCGTTCCGAACGACGGTTGCTTAAACTACATCGAAGAGAATGTGAGTATTATTAGTACACTGCTGAAATTGTTTAAGTATTGTTTTTTCGTACTCTGCTGATGATCAATAATATATTGAATTAGGATGAGGTGTTGATTGCTGGATTTGGACGAAAGGGTCATGCAGTTGGTGATATTCCCGGTGTTCGATTCAAGGTTGTGAAGGTTTCTGGTGTTTCCCTCTTGGCACTCTTCAAAGAGAAAAAGGAGAAGCCTAGATCCTAACTTTGCAATGAGGTGGATTTCTTTGGCGATCTTTTAGTAGTTCTACTTAAAACTGAGAGCATTATATTGCATGGTTGCTTTTCGGTACAATTTGTTTTTGTTTATCTTCGGGCTATCTTTTTATTGAACTTTGGTGTCGGATTTTCATAAAAGGATTTGGTGCTTTATTGCAGTTCCAAACTGTTCTTTCTTCTCCATGCTATGATTTAGATTCATTATATTATTTGTATATATAACTGCTTATGATTATACTAGAACTTGTTTCTAGCTAGGTTCGGAAATTAATTAGGATTGAGCTTATTCTGCTAAATGTATAGTTCAGTATGTGACCAACTGTGGACAGTCCCAAGCTTTCAAATTTATTATCAATTATATAATTTTTGGGTTTGAACAGAGTAATACTTTAAGTTAAAACCGACGCAAATTAGCCTAGGGTTAGGCTGTGTTGCACACCAAAATTACCCATAATTTTGTTGGAAGAACAATAGAGCTTGGAGGGATTTGCATACAGGTTTTAAGAGATTTAAACTAACAGCTTCTTCAAGAAAACTTGATCAGAACAAGTAGAGCAATTTTGTTTTCAGTCACCTTCCCTGCACAGCACTCGCAATCCAATTCGTCAAGAGAAAAAAAAATAACATTTAATTTAACAAAATGAGGACTTATGTTTCATGTTTAATAAGGAAAAGGTAATGAGGATTATCATCTTTTATTAATCGAAAGGAGCCTCCGGGTTATGTCATCTTACTGAGAACTAAATAAATACAGCAAATGCGAATGATGAATTGCTTCAGGAGAATAATCTAATTTGAAGCTTTTCCGTAACAATTTTGATAGGAGAATAATTGTAGAAATCAACTAAGCAAGGGTGAGTATTCAATCGAATCAAATTAAAATTTTTAATGGGATAAAATTTCATTCATTACCGACCAGCTTAACATCAATGATTTCCGTAGATGGTGTCACCATAATTGTAAAACATATTTAGAAAAGAAGTAGAGTGCTATGAAATGTTTATAGAATCATACATTAAAGAGGAGAAACCAGAGGATGGAGGGAGTCAAACATGTTCGGTGGATGAGGCTCGGCTCGGCTCAGCTCAGCTCAGCCCCTTGAAATCGAAACCTACGGAGGGAGTCGATCATGTTCGGTGGATGAGGCTCAGCCCTTGAAATCGAAATCGCTTTGGAATAACCGATTTGTAAAATGAAAAATGAAAGCTGTATAAAAGTTTCGGAGAACCATATAAAAAATTAGTAAAATGCGTAAAACAACTCCAGTTCAGATTAAAGTGGAACCAAAAACCATCCTTCCCATAGATAGATAGATAAGAGGAAGAACGTATAAAATATGAAATTTGAATCTCAAACCTACTGCAAATAAAAATTAAGCAAAGTGGTCAGTCCTATAAATTAACCCACTTGCACTATCAATTTGGTGGCTATGCCAACTGTTTGATCCCATCATTTTCAACTAATATAACCAACCACCATCGATAATGTTTTAATATAACCTCGTAAAACAATAGCATTTACAAGTTCAAACCTTCCCCTGTGAATGCTTAAGCTAACCTCTCTCTCTGGACATCAACTTGACTAGAATCGAACCCATGACCATGAAGCAGAGCATTTTAATCTCCATTTTTTCCATCCACTCTTCTCCTTACCACCACCTTGGGAAGCTTTACTTGGCGTGGAAGCCAGTCGCTTGAGGCTTGAGGCGGTAACTAACGAGTGAGGGTCCAAAAATGCTGTATTTTCCAGAACTGCTGAAAGCCATTGCATCCGTTCGCCTTTTAAAAACCACCTTGGCCTGTATGCTCTTTCTGAACACTTCAGTCCCTCTCGTAATCAAAGGACCGTAACGGCTAAATACCTTATTCAGTTCTTCTACTGCAGGAACTGTATCTATGTCTGAAAATTTTAGGATCAAAGAAGTTGGAGATCGATCCTCTGCTTCCATTCCAAGATTTTCATCTACAGCTGCATGTTTCTGTTCAGTATCCACATTGGCACATGCTTTAGCAGCGAAAAACCGTTTTCCGTGGTTTGGTTGTTCTTGTCAACTGTTAACTGCTCTTCAGGAAGGCATTGGATTATCCTTTCAGAACAAGAGGCGTCTTTGATTGAGGTGAACTCAGACATCCCGGTAAGCTTGAACTTGGTTGATTTCTCCCCCGTCATGGCATCAGTTCCTTGTTCCAAAGATTGTTAAGACATTTCAGAGTTGTTAATCTCCGTAGCAATCGAATTCTTCAACTCAGTAAAGAAAAAAAATATAGAGGCCAAGAAATTGTACCCTTTCAAGGGATCTGTGGCAGCCAAGTGAAGCTGTGAGAGCATCTTATCAGAGGAGGAGATATCTGTTTCAGGAACCTTCTTCCCTCGTGATTTACCAGAAGAAGATTTTCCTTTACTTTTATTACCAACTGCAGCCTTCCGAGATTTCCCATCAGTATGCTTTAGTAATGGTGTAGAAAATATTGAATCATTAAGTTGGCTTGCAACCCTAAGAATGCTAGCTCCAACTCCAAAAGTTTGCTTAGACTGTAGAGGCTTATCAACAGATGCTGTTGACAAATTATTTTTATTCTGTTTCATTGCCAAGTCATTGCACACAGGGTCAACAGCCTTTAGCTTTTTAGCAGGGGATGAAGACATCGACTTGTCATCACCTTTTTTATTCAATTTCCTTTTAACAATTTGCAAACTCAAGCGCCTTTCAGCTATGAACTCTGATAAGCTTTTCTCCTTTTTGCCGGAAACTCGGATTTTCTTTTGTTTAGAAGATGAGACATATTGGGTATCTAGCTCCTCTTCTTCAGAGTAAACCCTTTCGTCAACCTTGACACTAGGAATTTCCTTTTTTATCAGTTTGCTGCATTTCTTCATTTCCTCGGACAGAGGGATTGCAGCATCAGTCTCCAACGATCCGCAAAGATTTTGAAACTCCGGTAGCTGAGAATAACCCTTCCAACGATGGAATGCTAACAATTGCGCCTGTGATATTGTGAATTGCAATCTATAAATGTTGGTATAAGAAGGTGATCGAGCCAATTTTTTCATAGTTTTAACAAGTTCCAAAGGGTCAAAGGAGGAAGCACTAGAAAACCTATCCCAACCATCTCGTCTGCTAGATTCTTCCCGGATCCCAGCATTAACAATTATCTCAGTTTTAATCTGGGAATATGCTTTCTCGGAAATGCAAGAACAGGCTAGACCAAACTCTACCCGTCTAGAAACCTCATCCAAAGCACAATCCACAGCATGGTGAAACTCTTCCATATTGGTCTTCTTTTCCATATGTGAGAAATGAGACCTGAAGGGTTTGATCTGAGATGCCTCATTCCAAGCAAATGTCTGATCACCATAATATGCAATCAAATAACTTTCCTTTTTGAAATACTTCTTTGCCTTTGCTGTAGCAGCTGAACTATCAAATATCTGCCCCGGCCACCATGGATGACTCCTTACTTTACCCCACACTAAATCAGAGTCACAAAATTCCGGCTCTTCAGGTTTTGCATCGACATCAGATGATTCATCCTCATATGTGCTTGTAGTTTGATTCGAGTTTTCTGCATCCTGCGAATCCCTTTCACCTTGGATCACAGTAGTTTGATTCTTTTTGGTACTATCGGGTGTGCCAATTCCATATCACAGCTTTCTAATCCACCAGAAGATACTTCCTTTTCCTTTGAACTCATTTTCTGGTCCTCATCAGGTAAACAACTTTGAACAGCTGAAGTAAGAGGCTTCCCATCACCAGAATGAATAGTACTATCAGCAAGTGAGCTCGACCGGACACTTGTCCCCTCTATCAACGAGTCCTCATTAGGAGAGGCGCTAACATTAAGTTCCTCAGTAACCCCACCAGTAGACCCCGGAACCATTTGTTCATCCTCCACGGGTTTCTTGTCTTCCATGGAACCACTCTTTCCATCTCCAGCTCCAGCTCCTCCTCCTCCTCCTCCTCCTCCATCAACCTCATCAAAGAAGCCCCACCTGAACTCAACCCGGCACTAACTTTATCATCGACAACTTCACCTAAAGAACCAACATCAGCTTCCAAATCAATCCCTTGACTCTTCACACTCTCAATCTTGCTTTCTTTCTCCAACTCATCAAGCCCAGCAGCCAACACAGTTTCGGTTGTGGCCAACCCAGAGACAGGCTGCCCAACATTAACATCACTTCTCTCGTTTTCTTGGTGAACCGGAACAGCATCACAGTTCAAGTCGATTTCTTCAGGAACTTTGTTCGACATTAGAGTAAACCCTAAACATAAAATAAGAAAGCGATAATCAAAAACTCTAATTCACCATAGAACAAAACAAAACCCTAATTTTTGGTGAACCCTAAAGATAAATACCTAATTTTCCAGACAAGACAAGTAAAATTAAGAAAAGAGAAAGCTGCTTACCGGTTTACTTGAATCGGGAGCCTTATAGAAACGAGGGGTGCCCTAGTTTCAAGCGTAGTAAGAAAAACGAGGGGTGCCTTATAGACGTGGCGTTGATCGGAGCGCTTTAGTTTAAAAGAGAGAAAAAAATACATGGATAAAACAGGAAAATAACCGCGGATTAGGACGCTTTTTTGTTTACCATGAAAAATTATATAAAAAATCCATCTTATTTATAAAAACATTATAAATTGATCCATTTTTATTATAAATTTAATAATATAATATATTTAGTTATTAATTTTAATCTTATATTTAAAAAAATTAACTTTTAATGTTTCATCAATTTAATCTCTCAAATTTTATTTTTAAGTATGGTGTCAAAAATACTCTTAAATTAGTGTTTATTCTCTTCTAAAACATTTTTAGTTTTCAAATATTTTATTTTAAGAGAAAAATACTTTTAATATTTGATTTAACAATCATTTTAGTTTATATTCTTTTTTTCGAGTATTTTGACTGTCACCATCTCATTTAAGAGAAAAAATATGTATTTTATAATGATAATCATTTATTGACTAATGATTCTTATTCACACATGAATAATCTTTCTTCAAAATGAAATATTAGGAGACTAAAATACATTAAAAATACAATAAGAGTCAAAAAGTGACTATTTAACCAATTCTTTTGCCATCATTTACTCACCCTCTTGCACGGACCGTAGAATTGTTATTATTACTTGATATCTCAAGCTTAAATATCAGAAATATCAATGGTTGGTTTACAACCATGGCTTCATCCACATTCTTCCACAGCTTCATCTTCATCTTCATCGTACTTTGTTCACATGAAACCTCAAGACAAGCCATTTTCTTTTGAACCACACCATGATTGGTACAGTTGAATGTTTTAATCACTCTCTGCACCCCATCCGAGCCCCTTCTCTATTCCTGTAACGCTGCATTTTGGAATTTCTAAGCTTTTTTTTCTTCTCAATATTCAACATCTCTTCAGCATTAACACAACCAGCGAACAAGGCATTCAATTCATTACATGAAACGCACAATTTGACTGAATATTCTGCATTTGCAATATACAGTACAATTACATTACATGACCTTGACCTTGTTACAAATTAGTGCAAGTATACATTGTTGATTTTGTTTTACTGACTCTGAACCACAGAGGCATAAATGTGATCATCTGCCATTAGAACCATAATCCCACTCGCTTCCATAATAAGAATTAGGCAAACCCAACCAGAACTTGAATGCCTCGGCCGCTCTCTTCTTTTCGACCCTCCGGTCCTGCCTCGCTTGTGAAGCATGCTTGCTAGTAAACATCCTCGAATGCATCTCCACATAGATTTTCTTGTACTTGGTCTTGTTTGGTGGTATGCCATTCTCTTCCATGCAAGCCACAATTTCCAATGCCTTCTTGAAGAAAGCAGCTCTCACACATATATCAGCTAGAGCATCTAATAGACCTTCATCCGGTTTCAACGGTGGTGGAAGAGCGGGAGAATCGGAGGGTTGGTTCTCATCTTCCTTTTTCATCTCGCACCTATCCTTAATCTCTTTCCAGAGCAAGAGTGCTTCCCCTGGTTTTCTAGCCAATGCAATCCCATTTGCTAGACTACCATAAGTAGAAACGTTAGGGTAAAATCCGTTTTCCTTCATTCTTTGGATTACTTTCTTAGCTTCTTCGACCAGTCCCAGCCTACAATATCCCTCCACCAACATGTTCCATGCGACCAAATCGACTTTCACCCGTGGATCTCTAAGCATCTCGTCGAAAACCTTGTTGGCTAACTTCGGTTGACCTGACAAAGCGAAAGCTTTCATCAATGTAGTGTAACTGATCTTCGTAGGAGTGATTCCTTGCTCCCGCATCTCGTTGAAAAATGCAAGAGCCCCAGCACTGTCGTCTATCAATATGCATCCATCAATTAATATATTATATGAAACCACATCGGGCTTAATCCCTGCATCATCAGCCATCTCCCTTAGCAATTCCTTTGCCTTGTCTATTCGCAACTGCTGGCAATAACCCTTGAGAAGAATATTGTAAGTAATCCGATTTGCTGGCACACGAATTCTGGTCATTTCGGCTAGCACTTCTCGCGCTCTATCCATCAATCCGGCCTTCACAAAGGCAGAAACAACTGTTGTGTATGTAATATTATCAGGATGACTAGCTTTATCATCTTGACGCCTCATTGCTTCTAAAGTCTTCACTGTGTCTGTAACTCTGCCTGCCTTCATATAACCTTTCATTAATGTCGTATAAATCCTAGAATTTGGTGCATATACTTTCGGCAATAATGGTGGTTCACTGGACGGCTCAATCGAATTAGGAAGCAACTTCTCAAACACTATATCATCTATCTTGTTTTGACTCGAATCTTTTGTATCTTCCTCTTCATCATCATCATCCCCATCATAGTCGTAGCTTTCATCATCATAATCGTCTTCCTTAGCTCGTTTTAGATCTTCCAAATATGCATCTCGGAGAATCTTACAAAGATCATTCCTTCCTTCCCTCATAGCTTGAACAATTTTCTCAGCCGTTTCAAGATCATCAAATCCAACATAAGCAGCAACGAGGGAATGCAGAGTAGTCATACAAAAACGTATTCTCTTCTCAATAATCCTCTCCAACACAAACACAAGCAAATCTTTCCTATCAGCTCTAGCACACAACTTTATCATAACATTATAAGTCAAAACATCAGCTTCACAACCCCATTCACGCATTTCATCGAACAGTTTCAGAAACTTACTTTTGTCACCCAAATTAGCACAAGCGTTAAGCACAGCGTTATAGGCAGCCGTGTCAGGTTTGGAATCAGCAACAATTGAAGGATCCGCGAAGCGTCTGACGCGGCGAGTCACGGAATCAAAAAGGCTTATCGACTCAAAGGATGACTCAGTGGAAAGCCGCGAAACGACGGCGCTCCATGCTTTGACGTGGGGGAGGTAACCAGAGCGAAGCATAGACTTGATGAGGGAAGAGGCGTAAAGGGTATGCCCGGATTTCGCCGAAGTCGATGCCAGGAGGCCGAGGGAGTTGGCGTCGAGTCGGTGAAGCTGGCGTTCATTGCGGAGGAGCGTGATGATTGAACGAGCGCGTGATAGAGATTGTGGAGTGGATTGGTAAGAGAGCTGAGCAACTAAGCGGCTTAAGCAAGTAGGGGTGGGGAGGTGAGGGGATTGGGAATAATGGGTCCAAGCTTGTTCGGTTTTCCTTTGGCGGAGGAGGGAGAGAAGGGTTTGATCATCGTTACTGTTCTTATTAGAGGGAAGAGATAAATCAGTAGCGGCAGGTTGAGTTCGCTGGTGGGCTGTAGCCTGCAGGCAGAATGAACGCGTGGGCTTAGAGGAAGTTGAGGTGGTGGTTGAAGGCGGAGAAGAAGGCAGCGGAGGAAGGGGTGAAATCCAGTGGAGAGTGGAGGGAAAGGAGGAGAAGGAAGAAGAAGAAGAAGGAGAGGGTGAGCAAGGGGAAGGAATATTCATAGACATGGCTGCTTGAAGGCGGAGAAGAAGGCAGCGGAGGAAGGGGTGAAATCCAGTGGAGATTGGAGGGAAAGGAGAAGAAGAAGATGGAGAGGGAGAGCAAGGGGAGGGAATATTCATAGACATGGCTGGTCCATTGGGGGTGAAAGTAAAAGGAGGAGGGAAACAATAATAGGAATATGAAGTGGTGGAGGAAGATGAAAAAGATATTGGATGGAGAAGACAAGTACTACGTCGACTGGATTATGTTCTCTTCTTTTATCCACTATCTCACTGCTTGCTCGTTAACACTTGGCTTTATTGCTAATTAATTTCTTTAAAATAACCCATTTCATTTTAATATTCCCTCCCTCTGTTTTGAAAATCGTACTAGACCGGTCGATTTAACCGGGAATCGTTGTTTAGTCCGATTTAATCTAAATCGGTTGAACCGTTATTAGTGAACCGGTCAGAATCGTTGAACCGTTCAAACCGGAAAAAACTGGGATTTTTGTTTTTTAAAAAAAAATTAAACCAAACAACGTCGTTTGTTAAACGAGCTAAGTCGAACTAGAATATTGTTGAGCTCGACTCGAACTTGAAAACTTTAAAAGTAAGCTCAACTTAACTCAAACTCACAAGCTAAAAATTATCAAGTTCAACTCAAACTCGAAATATAATATTGAAACTTGAACTCAAAAAGGCTTGAACTCAAATAAAAATTAGAAGCTCGATTGAAGCCTAAAATTCGAGCTTGATTGAAGTGAAAGAATAGTTCACTCAATGCTCACTAAAAGGCTCCATGATTTTGAATGCCAAATTACCTCTATTATTTATAGAAGTTAGTTGTGATGCGCTTCTATGTTTCTTAGCAATGTTAGATTGTTTTGTTTTCATATTTTTACTCTTTAGACTTTTGGGATGCTCTTCTATGTTTCTTAGCCATGAGATTGTTTTTAAAAAAAAAATTTAAACCAAACAATATCATTTTATTATGATTTTTTAACCCCAAATTTATTTTTTAATTATAGTTATATAATTATATTTATTATTTAATATGTTTTACCTTAAATATTATGTTGTAATTAATTTGAATCATTTTTTCACTTGATTTTATGATTATATATGTTATAACTTGCTTTGAATATGACTTGTGATATAAAAAATTATTTTTTATTAAATATTTTTGGTATTTTTATTTAATTTTTTAAATAATTATGACGTCGTCCGGTTCTTCCGACCGATCAGACCGATTCGACCGATTGAACCAGTGAACCGATAGCATGACTGATTCGCTAACCGGTCCGGTTCTGAAAACCATGCTCCTCCATCTCATTTATATTGTCCAATGTTTAAAATTATAGTTTTATCCTATAAAAATTAAATTTTACTTTGTTAGAATACTTAAAAGAATAGAAAGAAAAATATGTCTAATAAAGATTATTGATTTTTTAAATATACAATTTAAATGTGATAATTTTAAAACACGACGACACATTTAATGAAATAGAGAAAGTATGAATTATTTATTTTAAATTTCCAAAAAGAAATAACATTGACTTATTTCGAGTAAAATAAAATTTATTGGATAAATTACACATTTAGTATCTATCAATTTTGATTCGTTTTAATACCTAAACTTTTAATTTTATCAAAATCATACTTAACATTTAATTTTCATTTCATTTTAGTATCCGCTGTTAAAAATTTAACGCGTTTAGTACCTAAACTATCAATTTTGGTCCATATTAATACTTAAACTTTCAATTTTTTAAAAAATTAACGTTAAATTTTGAACATACTATTAAAATGAAACAAAAACTAGAGATTTTAACGATGGAATACCAAAATGATATAAAAACTAAATTTTAAGTATGATTTTGAAAAAAACTAAAAGTCTAAGTACTAGAACAGATCAAAATTAATAGTGTAGGTATTAAATGCAAAATTTACCCAAATTCATTTGTCCCCTCCATATATTAAAGAGATATTACTAGCTTAGACATCCCGAGATCGACATTCATGAAAATTTCAAATCTTCATATATTTTAATTTTTTTTAATTTTATTACAATCTCTAATATAAAATTCTATATTTATCATTTCTTAAGATGACAAATTTGCCTTATTTTATGGTGACAAACCTTGTATCTTACATTCACCAGTCTTAATGAAGCCAAATGATACATGCCCCATAAATCTAAAAACCATGTCTAATTTGTTTTTCATTTCCTTTCACTTAATGAAGAAGATTGGTTTCATGCAAAAGAAATAAGCAACAAACTCAAAATTGACCACCTCAGAAACCTTGAACCTGTTCTGTCTCATGGGACCATCTTCCCATCTTTGTTTTCTTTCTTTAAATCTTTCCTGGCTATAACCTAGAGCATAATTGAAGGTTCTGGCAATGTAACAAAGAATATATGAAAACGAAAACGGAGGGGATTGTTTCTTTGTACATGGCCTAACAACGGATTATCGAGGGACTGGCCGTGCGATAGACTCATCCAACGATAGGTAATTATCGGTACCAATCATATCCAAGGAACCAGGGTTGAGGGAAGAAATGGCGGAGTGCCTAGACATTTCATCCGAGTTACCTTCTCTAACCATCATTCCTTCCTTTTCGATTAAGATGGCATCTTGGATCTCCTTGAGAACTTCTGATATCGATGGCCTCATATGTCCGTGAGGTTGCACGCAGTTTAAAGCTTTCTCAGCTATCTTCCACATCGATTGAATGTCGTAGTCATCACGGAGGTAAGGATCAATGATTCCTTGAATGTCCCCACTCTCGATATGCAACTTTGCCTACAATATATCATAATTCCTTTTTGTAACCATGAGCAGCAATAGGAAAGTGCATAAGAGAAATCTGGAATGAAATAAACCGATATTTTGAACAATATCATTACTCCGGCGTCTGCAAACTAAATGAACTTACCCATTGGACAATATTCCGGCAATTAACACCAAAGCTTTCATTAGATATCGCTTCCTGACCGGACATCAGTTCTAGAAGAATGACACCAAAGCTATAGACATCACTTTTATCCGTTAATTGCTGCGAGATATAATACCTGTGTACCAAAAAGAACTAATATAAACTCGATAGCATGGCTACATACAAAAATTTCTACAGCAAAAGGTATTTGAAGGGGGTACACAATGCTCGACTTGATATTATCTAAAAACATATTCTACTACTTTTCTGTTAGTCAGACTGTAAACACGTAATTTCATCCTCGGAAAACAATTTAATCATTCGGGAACAGCAGCAGCAAAAATGGCAAATCAGTGCAGATAGTCATTTAACATGGTTTCAACTAAAGGGAGGATTTAATAGAAGCAAGGCCTTACTCAGGATCTAGATACCCCACAGTTCCTCGAACTATGCTCGACACATGTGATACTCCATCAACTGCGAGCTTTGAAAGTCCAAAATCTGAAACCTTGGCCCTCATGTGCTTGTCAAGAAGAATATTGCTAGTTTTCAAATCCCTATGGATAATGGCTGGAACACAGCCCGTGTGAAGGTACTCGATTCCTGAATGAAGTATAAAGAATCAAACTTTCCGTCAGTTGAATAAAGCAAAAGGCTTCAGCACATAGAAATTAAACCTAGTCCCTCGGCTTAAGTACCTTTTGCAGCATCTTCAGCAATCTCAAGGCGTTTTATCCAACTGATACCATGTTCCCTTGTTAAAGGGCCTACAAATATTTACCCATGGTCAGCACTCAACCATTATCGGTTTTAACCAAAGGAATACTAGAACTTACCATAAAGATGTTCTTTGAGAGTTCCGTTGTGCATGAACTCGTAAACAAGCATACTTCTCTCATCTTCTTGACAATATCCAAGAAACTGTACCAGGTTCCTATGATGTATCCTTGAAAGGAGACTCACCTTCACCATAATCAAAATTTCACATGATTTTGGCTTCAAATGGCTTCTTATAAATATGTCAACGAATGCAACATATGTTATTTCAAAGCACCAGAACACTCTCTAAAAAAGAAAGGGCTTAAAACGAATCATTTCCTTTTGAGAAGAGTCATCGAAAGCAGACTCGCATACAACTAATTCACTCCCACACAAGCAGGTTACACATACCTCATTCGTAAATTCCCTCTTTCCTTGGAAGGAATTATTAGTGAGAACCTTTACTGCAATTTCCTTCCCGTCTTTCAATTTCCCATAGTGTACTACTCCAAAGCCTCCAGAACCAATTTTCTTCTCGAAATTGTTTGTAGCATCTTCAATCTCGGCTACTGTAAAGCAATTAGCTGCCTCAGTGGGAGCATTATTCAAAGAAGAAGCAGTTCTCTGACCTTGAGTAGGCAACGGATGATGAAATTGTTCTGACATAAATTAAAAGAAATTAAGCATGTCACAACTCAGATACGCAATAGATTAGCCAAGCTTTGAAGAACCTGGTTCCGTACCTTGTTTGTGTTTCTTCTTCCCCTTGTGCAAAATAATGCAAGACAATATCGTAGATATGAGCAGAAAAGCAGCTCCAACTGCTGAACCAACAATAATAGTACTAAGATGTTTCGATTTTCCACCCCCCTCATGAAGGTTAATATTTCCAGTATAGCTGTGGGAAAAAAGTAGTAGTAACTATATTGCACAAACTAAGTGCCATATATTAGTATAAAAGGAGAAATGGATAAAAATAATAATATAAAGAGAACAAAATAACATATATTACGTAATTTTGGTTTGTATAAGATTCCTTGACTGGCGCCTATCGGGTAATGTTTTTTATACATTAAAAGATTAGGAATAGGCCTTCTATAATCATTGCAAGGGATGAAAGCCAAATATATATCATAAACATGCAAAGAGCATATTCAAAATACTAATTACTTATCAGACTCCATAGTGACTTCTATGGCAGCTCAAGGAGTGTGAACTAAGAATTTAGAATGTTATAATCTGGTTAACGCAAACACTACATCTTACTCTGTTCGAACAAAGGTCTTAAGTTTCTCTAACACTTGATAACCATTTCCGAAAAAGGTATCTATGGACAGAATTGCCTACAATGCTTCCTGCATATGTTAAACATGTTTGTATGTCTATATTTGTGCTTAAGATAATAGAAGTATTTAGGTCAAAAATTAAACAAAGGAGCTTTGTAGCATTGACTTAATATATTCAGGTTGTATGAATCCAAGATGTAAATATGACAACTAATCATTAAGCATGTGTTAGTGCATTTCAATTGCATTTAGGATACTCACTTCAAAGC